TAACTCAAGAGTTTTTTCTATTCCCACTGAAGAGATAGAYGCTTGATCCACTTTTTTAAAATGGGCAAGATTTTTAAGTGTGCATATTCTASGTGTTTCAAACAAACCCTCAAACAACACAAAAAGCGTGCCAGACTGTGTAAAGTATAAAATTTAAAAGCACTTCAGTAATTTTAAACAATATGAAAGAAAAACATCACCCAAGAGGAGTTATTTTTTCAGAAACATTTTTAACTCTATTGCATTGCCAGGCAGAGAAAAATCAAATGCAATGTGACAAGTGGTGCAATTAGATTTATAATCTACCATGAAACTTAAAAATTGGCACATTCRAACGGAAGGATGCAATTTGCATATTAACAGAAATAGAATATTTGTCAAAGGTAATAGGAATATAAAAATCCTTAATGACCTCAAACCCCACTATTCTCAAGATTAGCATTATTTCAGTGACCTTGAGCCTGGCTTTGGATTTCTTAAGCATCGGCTAAAAAGGGATAATTTTCAGTTTAAATAATGCTCCATTGGCCTTTTTTTTTGTGTTTTGAACTAGAATGGTGTTACACTGAGATCCTCAGTCCAATAATGGAAGCCAGTTTTACAAATGGTCTTTTCCCCTTATTCTTCCCCACCCTGCCAATTTTATTTAAATGCTTCCTTTCTAGCCAGTTTTTTTCTGAACAGTTCAGCAYATGCGGTTTAGGAATAACAGGGTGGGCAGGAGAAGGGGGAATACAATTATCAATAGAATAAATTCTTTCTCATAAAGCCAGAGAAAATATAGTCCAAAATGGCTTTTCCTGGTTCAGATTTTAGTCCCTTAACAGTCTGGGCAGCTGTCATAAGCAAATCACACTCTTCTCCCACCATCCAAAAGAAAACACTTTCAGAAATCGAAACAGCTCCTCCACCCCCCTTAAACCTTCTGTGTAGTCTTAGGGTAGCACTGAGACAGTGATGTAGGTGCCAACACTGGGAAGATGTGAGTTTCATAAGCACAATGTTACTTTGCCAAGCACTTAGACATGCGTAGCCATAAGAAGTATTGGAAAATCTTCTGAAGCAAGACAAGACCACCCTAAATTAGATCCTGCATGATGACAACTCACTAAACAGCCTTAGACTGGAAGACAACCTTTGGAGGACAGAATTTAGAACTCAGCAGAAAGCATTCATGATATAAGCAGTATGCATAAACCAGTTATATTTATTTGAAATTCTAGATTATACTAAWAAAAGCTGTCGCATCACATTAGCCCAGTACCAAGAGATGATCAGGACATACAGGACATACATCCCACTTCCCACATCCTATTTGGCGCATGGGAAAACAGGCAATCCTTAATTCAACACGAAGCTTCAACAAACGTAATACATCCTTAAGAGTGAGTACCGACCGAGTACGACACGCAGAACACTGAAATCATCTCTAATTGCTGCCTACCCTAGGGTGCWGTATTCTCTTGTTTGCAAGTTAAGAACTGCACAGCGTAACTGGAACTGCTCTTTTTTAGCAGCCCTCCAACTATCTGGATTTATGGGCGAGCGCCGGGTCAAACCTTCAAGTTGATCGCCATGMACCCCAACAAAAACTGCCAACAGCTTTACACAGCAGTACTTTTCACTGTGTGATCACAGAGCGATCTGAAACCTAACCGTACATCTAGTATCTCCCTCAGGGGATTATTGCCTCCAGATGTTAAACTTTCATGTGGCTGTCAAGGGTTTGTTTTTAAAAGAGYTTGTCCACTTGGGTTAACCCCACCCTGCCTTTCAGAAAGCAAAAGCCATACCCGCCTGATGACTGACACGATGGTTTGGGCCAGAATTTAAACAAATCTACAATGACACAAGACCCCACCCAGCTCTAGTGAATGGGCTGTTGGCTTGGGGGGATTTTTTTGGTTCGCTGTGTTCCCCCCTCGATGATCAGAATCTCGCMAACTTGCGTGTCCCTCTGGGGTGACCGTGCGGGAAGGCTGCGCGCCGCGGACACCGCCAGGAGCGATCTGAAATAGCAGCAGGGCCGCGAGCGCCCGCACGGCGGCGGACGGAGGCAGCTCCGCCGGAGGAGGCGGTGCTCGGCTCCCCCCACCCCGCCGCTGACCGACGGCCCCGGCAGCCCCGCCCCGCGGGGGGTGCGGAGAACGGGCCCCGGGCCTGCCAATCACGGCGAACACCGCCTGGCCCGCCCGGTACCGCCGTGACCTCCGGGGCTGCAGCGGCTCCGCCCCCTTCTTCCCGCCCCGCCACGGCCGGGGGGCACTTACCGTCCCGGGACGTGCCCATGAGCTGGTCCAGCATGGCGCGCATCTGGGCCTGCGCCGACATCTTGAGAGCTGGGGGGGCCGGCGCGGCCCGGCCGAGTCACACCGATAGCGGCCTACAAGGCCCGAGGCGCGGCGGGCGCTCGGCCCTGCCCCTCGCGTCACGGGCGGGCCCGGGCGGGGCCGCTCCCCCGCCGCCGAGGGGGGAGGGAGGGAGCGGGCGCTGCCCTCGCCTGCCTTTCCCGGTGGGAAGCGGAGCGGGAAACTCGCCTCGCGCCGGACCCGATGCCGCCGATGCCGCCTCGCGCCGCCCTGCGCCCTCACGCACTCCCCTCCTCCCGCTCCCTCCCGCGCCCGCCACGCGCGCGCGCCGGCGGGAACGGAAACCCGCGCGCACGCGCCCTGCGCCCCTTCGTCGGCTCCCCGACGTCAGCGCGGACGGGACTCGGGGCCCGTTCATTGGCCACGGCCTGCGCTGCTCGGCCCGTGACGCACCGCGCGACGGGGTTCCTGATTGGGCCGCCGGGCTGGGCCATTGGGGCGCACTGATTGGCTAGGGAGGCCCGCGTGGCCACTGTGACGTCACGGTCTCCGGGTCAGCGCCGGGTGGGGTCGGGGTTTCTGAGCTGTGCCGGGAGCAGAGCTGAGGGGCTGCTCCATTTGGAGACAATTCCCTCTTGGACCGATGTGCAGCACCACTGCAACGGTTCCTGTTCATCTCATGCTGCCGGGTGCAGTCGTGGTGAGAAAAGTTACTGTAATACTCCGCTTATTGGAGCACCTCCCTTCAAACTGTGGCTAGCGCTATGTGTGGCTGCTAACTCAACTCACAGGGCACCATTTAAAGGTCCATTTAAAAAAAATGCTTTCACGAATTTGACCCATTCTAACGCCTGCATTTTGTGACTTTCCCTTTGTCAACCGTCGTGTTGCCATCTAGTGCCCAAAACCCGTCACAAAGATCAATTCAAATCGTCCACAAGCGGTGTCGTGTTCAAGGTTAGCTTCCTACCTTCTTCTGCCTTCTTCTGAAAAGAGGCAACATAAAGCCACCCCTAACATAACACACCCCCCCCCCCCCCAATTATTTGGATTTCAGAAGGACTTGCAGAGAAGATACGGTTCTGTAACATGTTCAAGAAAAGATTCTCTACCCAGTGTCCCTCAGCCAACTAGAATATGTCCTGGCTTTGTTTTTTCTTTAAAATACAAATTTATTTTTGTTAGTCATTACTTTGGATTGAAGGGGAAGTAAATAGAACAGACACCAATACTGAACTCTAACTAGTGAAGTACTATTTAGTACCTTAGTATGCTTAGGTGAAACTGAAATTTTAGCTACTGTTTATATCCACACCATACACACTTTAGCTCCTTGTACTCTTTAAACAGCATCTATGTCTGGCCAAATGAGCTTTTTGTTTTGTTTTTTTAAAATCTCCCTTCTCCAGCAATAAACAATAGACTGTGAGACTTTGGATGGCACAAACCTTCAGTCTGTCTGGAAAGTAAACTGTAGAATGCGGCAGTTTGCATTAAATAACGCAGAACCACCAGTATATCACAGCCATTCTCAGAGTGTGGTGACATCACATAACTTCAATCTACTGAGCTGCTACTTTCCCACCTGTAATACCAACACTTTAAAAAATAAAACACCACTGTTTAACTAGTGAGACATTGAAAGACTTGCAAAGTGCAATTTTGGTCTACAGAACCCTAAAATATGTAGTTCACATCTCCTTACCGTAGCTGGGTAGCCCAAATCTCCCCGGTTTTAAGGATTCATTGTGCTTATCCACTATACTGTGAGGATTAAATCATCCCCTAGTTTTAAATACAGGGGAAAGATGTAAACTTACATGAACTTTTTCTATTTGTAATGCTTTTCTGACAGAACACTTTTCCCTGGCAGCAAAAAAAAACCCCAACAAACACACTCTTTTGTTAAGAGTTGCTTCAAGCTTCTCCCCAGGTAAACCTCACATTTTAACCATTGTAAGTCATCTTTGTAACAGATTTCTTATGTATCTTGCATACAATTCAACACTCTTCTGAGAACAGCAACAGGTCAAGACCCTTTCATAAAAAGAAACTYGCCATTCCAGATYGTGAGATGAATGAGAAAATGCAGTCCCATTTGTATACCTTGTGTGACTGGCAACAGTCAGTTCCCTCTAGCTTTTCTGAGACTCGGTGTATGAAGGAAGCACAAGAAGCTGTAAGTCACAGAGTCCACTTCTCAGRGATACTGAGAAATATGTAACTCGTTAGGAATTCATCTCTCTAAATCGCTACTGCTGGCTCAACACTGTGGAAAAAACTCTTAAGATGCAAGAGGTTTGTGCTGCTGCAGTTCTCTCCAGAATCCACCGATACACCAGAGTAGACCTTTGCTCTTGGGAAAGCAGGAAATTACWCACACAGAGAATATGTGGAAATGGAAAAYGCTTCACTAAACACTAGGCAAATTCTCTTACCCATTGCTTTTGAATCAGATGGGGAACCATGAACTCCTGCAGCCCCTTACACAAGCAGTTCAGCAGTGAGGAGTGATATGTTTTTCCACCCCAACCAACCTTTCTGTCAACCCGTGGAGGGTGCCCTTCATAGCACCCCTTCAGAAGGACGGGATGGGCGTCTGGGAAGCCTGATMAAGTGACAGGGGGTTCCCAGTTATGGCTTTCACGCCACCACATAAKAATGACAAAACACACCTGCTAGAGAACCCAGTTCCAACAGCTCTAGGACATTTATTGASAAATAAACATTTAACAGAGCAGACCCGTCTCAGCCCTTTCCTCCCGGCTGCTGAGGCAGTCTGAAGCCCACCAGTCCAGCGACCTCCTGGGGCGAGCGCTCGCCCTTGCCGTGGTACTCGCGGTGCAGGGCTTCGTGCTCCCGGACGCTGCGGAGCAGGCACAGGTAGGTGGCGGCCTGGAAGTGCAGCTCCTGCTGAGCCCGGCACAGCTTCTCGCTGGTCACCTGCGGGGAGCGGCGGTCAGGGCGGCCCCGCAGCCTCGGCGAGGCGCGGGAGCCGCCCGGGCGCGGGTGTGYGGGGTTAACGCGCGTACCCGGTGCGCGCGGAAGGCCGCGAGCACGTGGCGATAGGCGGGRCTGTCGCGATAGGAGCGGCCGGCGGCGTGCCGGAGCTCGCGCAGGAGCGCGCGCAGAGTGCGCAGCGGGGCCCCCAGCGCCGCCATCTTCCAACCCGCGCGCCGATGCGCCGGCCAATCGAGCGCCGCCGCGGGGCCTCGCCCTCGCGCCCTGGCAGTGCGGGCGGTCGAGCGCCGAGCGCACGATCGCCTGCTCCTACTCTCTGCCGCCCTCCCCGCCTTCGCAATCGGCGCGGGTCGGCCGGGCTGTGCCCGCCCCACTGCTCGCGCTGGGCCCTGTGGTTCGTTGCCGCCCTGTGGTGACAGAGCGGGAGCACTGGGAGGCTCCCGAAAGGCACATCTTACCGCAAGAAACCGAGCTGGGCGGCGARCGTCGCCTCGAGTTTCCCCGGTCTGAAAGGGGCTACAGGACTGGCCGGAGCCACAAGGGGCCGCCCAACAAGCTCAGCAGCCACACAGTCGAGGCAGGCRGTGGCTCACGGGCATCTGGAGAGGCGGCGCGGCTCGAGTGCAAAAAAAAACRATCCACCCCAGATGGGACTCGAACCCACAATCCCTGGCTTAGGAGGCCAATGCCTTATCCATTAGGCCACTGGGGCTRCCGCGAAAGGYTGGTTCTGCGTTCCTACTTATCCCCTATCCCCGCCCCTTTTCCTTTTATGGAAAGTGCCAGAGGATGGTGATTGGTCCGCAGCGCCCCGCGCGGCTGCCGCGCAGCCCCCTGGGACACGGGGTCAGGTGAGGGCACAGTTCCTTCATGGCGGTGCGAGGGAGMGTTTCGAAATAATGCGCATCCAGAGAGAAACGCCGCCATTCATACCGGCCCTTGGGGGGTTTCAAAATGCTGCGCTTGCCTGGGTGGTTGCCCTGACTGAAGGGGGCCCCCACCCCCAAAACACAAAAACTTGACAAAAAGCCCCAAGGGACAACCCTTCAAATGAAACCTTTTCCCATTTTCATTTTTGTGCGAAATCACAGACACAGGGCTAATATGTACATTCCTCTTTATTTAATACAGCACAGACACGTGACACATGAAAAAAAGAAAAGTACACTCATGAAAAAGCCTGTCGCATCAGGGACAGGGAACAGCTACGCCGAATTGAGTAAGGCTCCTACTGCAGAACGGGGGTCTGCCGGCACGGCTGGATCCCAGAGCAAAGYGCTGCCAGAAAGCGTGCGCTCCTTTCAGGAAAGCAGAGAAGGGCAAGTCCCTTCCGGAACAGGTGAAGGCAGCATTACCTGCAAGGTTTGCAGGATACAAACCCCACAACTGTGTTTGGATCAAAGCACTGATAAAATAAAATGCTCTCCAGTTATTCTTGCAGAGGGCCAATAGTCCTGACCTCTGAAAGCATGGGACTGCTCAGGGATAGCAAACCTGAGTACCTGGAAGGAGTGAAAACATCAAGTAGTCACACAGAAGASTTAAAATCAGCCTCCCTGACAGGGCTCTGCTAGCCAAAACTAGAAATGCGGAGGGAACTAAACGGGCTTCTCAACTATCAAAAGAATAACAGCCATTAAACTGACCAGAACAATATATGCATTTGGAACTGACGCAGGCTTTCCTGGCAGCAGCTTCTTCCTTTTCCTGCCTCCATTCAGGATGGAGATAAAGCAGGCACCARTTCCTCTGGCAAAGAGCCTTACACACTTTWAAAAAATTAAAATACAAAAAAGGGAGACAGGTGTATTTACAAAATCCATGGCTGGTACAGTACATCGTTTTTAAGACACACTAAATGCTACAATCTTTCAGGTCCTGAGATTATTACAAAAAAACCTCAAAAAACAAAAACCAATAACCAAACCAAACAAACCCCAAAACCTCAAAACTTGTGTTCAGGTCCAGTTTTATAAGGAGAGAGGAAAAAACCCCACACATTTAAAACACAGTATCCCTTGAAGTTACTGGAACACACCTCCCTAAGAAATCCAAATGAAAGTGGTGCTTACCACCCAAAKGTAGCTGCATTTGGTTTTGAGGTTTGTTGTCACAAGAGGGGAGCATTTCACGGGGCGGTTTCCCTGGAGAGCTCATCAAGTTACAAAGGCTGTAGGGATCCTGTCTCCATCACTAAGCCCTATGATCCGGAATGCGAGAGTGTAAAAAGGAGGAAGGTGATCTTGTACAAAGTCATGCTGGATCACAAGAGTCACCAACTCAAACAGGTTTGTCACTGTGTAGTAATTGTGCATTCCTTTGTTTGAAGTCGAGGAATGCAAAGAATTCTAGCTGTGATTTAACACTTGTTAATAACAAAAAACTCATGGAGCATTTTGTTCTGAGCTCCCCAGTGAAAGGCAGCAAAACAGTTTCTCAACCCCTCATTATCTGGGGGATCACAGCAAGTCAGGTAGAATTAAACTGGCTACATCCATACTTGCTAAAATATATTTATATTAAAAGTGACACCAAAAAAAGGATACGGAGGCCAAATTGCTGTTGAGAGGATGATCCCCACTGCCATTAGCTGTGCACTCTTCTTCACTGACGCTCTTTTATCAGGCGGACCTAAAGGAACTTGTACCCACATCTGTTTTTTTTTCCCCAAACAAGTATTCTTAATATAGAGTTTTTGTATCACAGATGCCCTTTTATTATGCCAGCACCTGGCCGAGAGCTAGAGAATGGCAACTTTTAAACCACAACTCATTGAACACTTTTAACCCTCAGTTAAAGAAGACTACARGAGACAAGTCACATAACAAGGATCCTAGTTTAACGGCTAAAATATAGGGGCTGCTCAGTAGAATTTGGGGAGGTATAAAGTAGTCATTTTGTTTTTCTCTTTTTTTTTTTTTTTTTAACAGTAGTCCAAAAATAAAATTTCTCCATCTATTTCCAGTACAGATCTTGATAACTATGCAAGAACATGGTACTAATTGCTACATGATGGATTCACCGGCAATAAAACACATACTACAGTCAGTTCTCATCTCTGAGCTAAACTGTTATTTGTAGTTACATACAACAAGACTAAAAGACCAGTGAGAAATACCTGGGGATTGTGATCTAATTTTTATTTAGCTGGTAACTCCCCTTGTTTAGAACCAACTTCATTTCAATTAGAAATTAATTTCATTCACTTTTGATGCTGGAAAGAAACCTGGGATATCTCACCAGTTTCTTCCCAAATCCAATCCATACATTAAAATACTGTTGCAGCTTCTCAAACCAATTGTGAGAGCTGAATATTCTAAAAAACTCTCAGAATAAAACCTGTCACAAGAAGCGATTTTACCTTGCCTCTSAAAGCAACTTCATTACACTTGTCACTACGTGTTTCCCCAGTGAAAGGGTTTCTTTTTTAAAATACAGGGATTTTTTCACATTAGCAAAAAAGTTCTGCGTTACAGACATTCAAAAATATTCAATTTTCTTTGGGTAAAACTTCAGTATGTGTTAAGACGCGTAGCTAGGGAACRGAATGCATGTAACACTGAAACATGTAAATACTTATCTGCATAGTTGATATTAGTGACTACTAATTAAACTAAGGCCTTATCTGGAAAAAGCTGAGAACACAAGAAAGTTTCTTCCCCCACTCCTCTAGTAAAATCTGCTAAGTCTCAAAGAAGCTCTGTCTGCCTTGGCAACTACTCAGTTTGGCCTATGATGGTGGCATCTTCTGACTGGTTGTGGTTGATTCTCTCCCACTTTTTTCTCTTGGTACTAGAAAGTAGTAAATATGACTGTTCAYAAAACATATCTGCACACATGGAAAGAGAAAGAAAAGCAAAAAAGCCTTTCAGTATTGTGCATTATAGGAGTCAAACATAGTGTACATTGCTTGCTTGGGATTACTTCACCACAAAGAAAAACTTAGTAGCCAATGGTAATTGTTTAAGCAGGAGATGACAGCAAGAGAAGAGACYGAAATACACTTCTAGATACAAAACATGGTGGTTGGKTTTTTTTTTCCCAGCGTTGCTCTGYAGAACTACAGCTATCAAAAATGGTTACAAAAGACAGGCCTATGTCCTTGATTACTGACAAGATTAGCACAGTTTTATTGATGAGTGTGCAAAAACAGTTGCAGAGAATCTTTGTACTTCCCCAGTTTTGGGCCAGTTCCAGGCCATGTTGATCTCTCAGCATAACTCACAGCAGCACCAGGGCTTTCTACAGCCCCAAAAGGCTAKTACAGCAGCAAGGGATCACCACATCATAGAAGAATGATGAAGCCTCACCAGAAGTTTCCACAAACAATGCATTCCCCCCTACACAACAGTTATCTTTCCAGTGACCCAGTAAGCATACTTCTGGCTGCTTATTTTGGCAGTGATTTCTTAAGCAGTAGACAGACACAAATTTTTTATAACAGCTGCATTTGTTAAGGACTGCAACTATCAGCCATCATCACTAGCTGTAGATTTCTCATCCCATAGATCAGCCTAGGATGAAGAGCATGTGTGTTCAAAATGAATTCAACAACATTAACTGGTGGATGTGGTAAACTTCACCGAAGTAACTTCTCTGATGCACCTAAGAATCAGAAGCATCTTCAACTACCACTCCAACTGGCTGAGCTATCAGCAATAGTTCTATCTTTGACTGGCACCATTAGATTGGTAGGAGAAATCCACTTACGGCCTATTCACATAACAAGTTTACTCAAACATGTGAACACAAGCCAGGAACTGAGTTAGGCTATTCTCTGCCTTAGGAACATATTTGGTACCATATTTTCTATTTTCCACACTGGCTCTCCACCCATGAAGGATTCCTCATTCCACTCCCATTCTGTAAAATAAATACTTCCATTTCATATTGCAACTTAAAATTAGATCTTCCCTAGCAAAAAAACCATCACAGAACTAGAACAGTCTAGTGATGTATATGCATGTTACCTTAAGTTTAGCACTTGGTCCACAAGTGAATTGCTAATTTCAGGAATTCGTGTTAATAATAATGTTAGATAAATCCTCGGCACAAAGCTGTTAAAATCACTAGATCACCTATGGCAGATACCTAATTTTGTCTGAGAACACGGAAACAAGCACAGATACTATTATGAGGGTTTATCTGCAGCTAAGRACACATGAACTTACCGTTCATTATAAGAGAAGAGAAGAAAGCATTAATGAAATCTCAACAAATTGAGAAGTACAACTA